TCCAAAGCTAAATTGCATCTTGTGTGTATATAAATTACTCTGAAATATAACTTATATACTAACGCGTACGCCAATGTCTTTTTTGGTTATAAGTTTGTACTTACTCTGTCTATAACACAAGTTGAATGCGAAAGAGCTTTTTCAAAATTAAAATTGTAAAAGGTAGATTAAGGAGTACTATGAAGCAAGTTAATTTGGAGTCATTGCATTGATGAACATAGAGAAAGGAATATTGGCTAAAACTAAAATTGAAGGTATAATGGAGAAAATATTTTACCAGTCGCTTTTGGAATTAAAAAACATTTAAATGGCTAATTATAAATGAACAGCTGTTTTGTTTATATAATTATTTAGTCATTGTTATTTATTGTATGTATTTTAATTCATATAATATTATATATATATATATATTTGTTTTTTAAAAAATTGTTGTAATTACAGTGTTGCTTTTTCGCAAAGGTATTTTTTATTTTATAAAATTATTTTTATGATGATGATGATAACTTATGTATATAACGACATTTCATATGGGGCCTAAGGACCAGCATATTTTTTCCTGCCAGGGCCGATTTCTTTGGCTAATGCCACTGCCTTCAGATGCAGTCACGCACATAAGCTCAATCTAGATCTGTATGTCTCTAAAACTATTTGCAACTAATTAAAATACATTCGTAGCCCTCCTGCGACCCGTGAGTTTGAGATCAGTACATTTTCTAAAGGAGGGAGGGTAAATTACGTGATCTTTCGAGGCGAAAGATGAAGTTAGACATCGGTAACTCTAACGAAGGCTCATGCAATACAAAGAGTGGATTGTCCTGTTTCAAAATTACTCTAAGGAGACTGTAGGGCTATGAAAATGTGACTGGTTGCAGAATGTCACTGTTGTACTGAACACTAATTACTGTGGTTAGAACTCTTACAAAAATGCTTCTTGCTGCAATATGCGAATACAAATATGCTGTTCTTGGACAGTCATTTGATTCTCCCCCCTTTTTTTTAAACCTGTTTGTTTGTTTTGTCTTATTTTCTTTAAACGAATATTATTCTATTTTATAACAAAAAGAACCCCCCAAACAGCAAACATCAAAGACATTATAGAAACAAGAATCACCGCAACATATAGGACTACAATTCCGTAGATTAAACTGAACGTTCGGAAGTTGCTAATTACTTTGCTGCCTTATTATCTTTTAATACCACTAATGTATTATCTCCGAGCACCGATAGAATTTTGTGAAGTTCAACACTAAATCTCCAAATTTCTGATAATTTCAAAAGTTCATCAACGTGGCTGACTCATAAAATGCCATCTATTTGAGAACAACAATATAAATATACGAAAAATATTTCCAATAAGAACAATAAATAACAATTACATTTCAAGAAAATTTTCATTCCGTTCGGTATACACTTAAATTAAAAGAGTAATATATATAGTAACGCAAATGCTCCTAAATCGAAACACACATATTAGATCACAAATCTAGACAAATATTAGAAAGAACAAAGGAGAAAAGGAATATATCGGTAGCAAGAAGGAAAAGAGCTACATTAAAATTTTTATTCTAAGAACGAAAAGAGAAGGTCAACAGAGGTGACACATTCAACTTCGGTCACAACACAAACAGAATCGTACTTCAGTTCAAGAAAAAGTCACATTGCGAAACGTTTACTTCCTCTTAATTCGCAAAGAGCAAGGAAAGGAAATTACCGTGAGCAATTAGCATAATTTATTATTCGACGTGTTAATCAATGGGATTGCGTGCCAGATTTCTAAAGAAGATAGGACATGTTACAGAAGAAAGCTTTCTGACAGTGGATTGGCAGATCTGACGCTTTAAGCACGGATCTCCCTTATTTTTCTCTCCTTAGCAATTACTACAAATTAGTTCTTGTCTTCTCCAAAGAAGTCACCTTGTTCAAACCCTAATTTAAGCCGTCGAATTTAGTTACACATAGAATATTTCGATTATTGTTATTATCCCATTAACATCTAGAACTGCAGAACTCATCTGGAGTTCACCTTGTTCAAACCCTAATTTAAGCCGTCGAATTTAGTTACACATAGAATTTCGATTATTCTTATTATCCCATTAACATCTAGAACTGCAGAACTCCGATCTGGATTGCGTTCTTCTTTCGAGACCATTTATAAAATTCAGCTTGGTGTTCTTTATATCCGTTTTTATGTCTTTCGTAAAATAATTACTAGAATAACAACAATAATGTAACAAATAATTACTAGAATACAGATATAGTTGATATCCAAATATATAATATTTTGTATAATGTAGTTACTCTTTATATAGCATACATACATGTGAGGTACTTTATACACATACAAGACTTTCAATCCTTATCACCTACAAAATATGATCCTTCTGTATTGATTCAGCAATGCCATTTTTTCCCAACAACATACAGCTGCTTGTTAAGCATATTTTTGGTGCACTTAGAAGTATACTTCAATATAGTGGAATCTTGGTTCACGAACATTCTGGATCATGAACAAAACCGTTCAAGAACAAATTTTCCAAACGAAAAATATTTTGGAAAATAGACGATGTCTCAAGATACGAACAAGTAAGCCGGCAATAAATGATATTCCAAAGTACAGTTAATGATGATGGATAGTGGATTGGTTGGTTTATTTGATAAAATGCGATATTATGGCAAAGCACGCAAGGGCTATCTGCCTCTAAAGATGGATGTCTTCTAGGGCTAAAGAAAGAAAAGGGCTGGGTCATCCTTTTGAGAAGAACGATGCCGACGCGGAGTATACCGGGGGGCGTAATGGCAGACCGCACATTGAGTTGACCAGTGTTAAACGAATGTCGCATACTGCGCACGCCCAGAACAAAAGTTGGCGTAATTATTATGTTTGGGCGATTTAAAGAATAAATACGTATATGGTAATTACCGCCGTCTGATTGTAAACATCTACGTTAAATTTCATAGAGTATAATGAATGTAAGTACTTACTGGTCAAATCCGATTTTTTTCCTTCTGCTGGAACACTAAAGCTGAATGATACGATCAGTATGAATCATTGAAGAGTGCAAAAATGGTAAAGGAAATCGCGTAAATACAAATGCCCATCGCAGAATGCAAACCAAATGCTATTGCAAGATTGCTTTCAGTAGTATTTCCATTTCGTAATTTATATGTTATATCAGTATTTATGTACTATGTCCAGTATCATCTTTCTTAATACATCATTATTTTTTTTTTTTTTTTTTTTTTTTAACATTTCCTAATTCTATATTTGTAACATTAGAAAAAGTTTAAGGAATATTTGTTTCCTTCAGAGGAATATAGCACGTTTTGTAATAAGACTGAGAATTTACGTTTCTTAATGCTGTTTATTAATTCTTTGAAAAAAAAAAAAAAAAAAGCCTACATACATTACCAACTAGGAGAGAAAATCCAGTTACTTACTGAATTATAACAGTAACAAATTAATCTAAATAATGTATATTACGAACATATGTTAACAATATTAAATGCAAATTCAGCAAATAAGCCTTAATTAAAATGAAACATATATTAATAAAAAAAGCAAATTCAATCAGAAGGACGTTAAAATAACGAGTAAACAAAGTTCCATAATATTGCAATTGTAAATCACGAATAAGCTAATGTAGGGTTGCTTACTCGCCAATATTTCTCCCCGCGCCAAATGTACACCATCAAGCATGCGCAGTAAGCGAAATTCGCTTAACACTATCAACTCAATGTGCGGTCTGCCATTACGCTACCGCGGGGGAGCATACCGGATATTATGTGACGTCACTGGGTTCGTCCCGTCGTCAAATGACCAGAGCATCAAGTGCAAAAGATTGAACCTTTAGTTCTTAGATTCTCTTTCTTTAGCCCTGTTAGTTTCAGATAAAGAGTTTTTCTTTTACGTGAAAGTTATGATGATACCTTTAAAGGAATTTGGTAATGCTTTCAAAATAGTCATTGCAACAGCTTACAAAATTCTACTACTCATTATCAACGCTAATTGAAAAGCAAAAATGAAAGACGTGAAATTTGTTTCGTTCTAATGTGTTATGAAATCCAGCATTACCATTAACTAATTTTTAATCAGATAATGTGTAAGTCCTTTAGTACGATTCTCCAAATGTATTGCATTTTTTTATTTAATATTTCTATAATGCAAATTACTTTGCGACTAACTGATATTTTAATGCAAAAAGAATTCTTCATAAATGTAAAAATTTACCTATGTTGTCGATGGGTTACTATTTACATATATTTAAAAAGATGATTATGAAAAAGATTTAGGGTACACTCAACCTAAAAAATTTGTTATGTTTAAGCCTGTCTTACTTACGTTTTACGCATATTAGAGTTTCATTTAGTATGACGTAACTACATTACTAGTTCATATATATATATGCATGTATATTGCAATTTCATGAGCTAAAATATCGGCTCATATTGGTTATTAAACTATTCTTCAAAGCACTTTGATTCCAGCAATGCTTAAGAAACAGCAGAACTGCAGCGACCCACTACGTCTCAGTCTCTTCTTTCGTTTAGCCGTAAGACGATACTACCAGTTTCTAACCTGTGGTTCATGGACCCCTTGGGTGTCCATGGGTCATATTTTGGGGGTCCGCCGACTGCTCCTAATTTTTAAAATGTTTGCATCAATATTTAAAAAAAAAACTTTTTTTTTTGTCACGGGCAACCTCTGTAAGCCGTCTGTCTGCCATTTCCCAATAATAGAGACCTCCACAATACGAGGAAAAGAACATTCGCAAACCATATAAAATTTGAAATTTTTAGAAACACAAAGTAGCCTTTGAATTTTACTTCACTTGGAAATAAAGTGACGTTAAAATCAGTTCCGCAAAGTTCTTGCAAATTTTTAAAACAAAATATTTGTTTTACTTTTTCATAAGTTGTAATTAAAGTTTTTTTTTCAAGTGTTTTTTTTTTTTGTGTCTTAATGTTTCGTTTGATTATTTGATTTTTTTTTGTAGCCCAAAATGTCCCAAAAAAGGAAGTATGATGAAAATTATGTAAAATATGGATTCTGCTGCATGAAGGAATCGGACGGTGTTGAAAAGCCACAATGCTTTCTGTGTGGAAAAGTTTTGGCAAACGCCAGTATGAAACCGGCAAAATTGATAGAGCATCTCAAATCTCTTCATCCTGAAAATGCATCTAAAGATCTAGAATTTTTTACAAAGAAGAAAGCCCAGTTTTCGAAATCTGGAACATTAACCAAACTTGGATTTGGTATTTCACAAAAACCTTTGGTTGAGGCATCTTTCAGAGTTGCATATCGTATTGCCAAAAGTAAGAAACCGCATACTATTGGAGAGACATTAATTAAGCCATGTGCGCTGGAAATGGTTGAATTAGTTTTGTGGACTGGAACAGAGAAAAAAAACTTGAGGCTATTCCATTGTCCAAGGATGTGATACATTCAAGAATAGTTGAAATTTCTTGCAATATCTTGAAACAGATCATCGATGAATTGAAAGCATCGCCATTTCCCTTTAGTATGCAACTGGATGAAACTACAGACATCTCGAATTGTAGTCAACTTCTTGTTTTTGTTCGTTACGTGTCTGCTGATACTATCAAAGAAGAATTCTTATTTTGTGAGCCTCTTTTGCAAACTACAAAGGCAGTTGATGTTTTTAGCGATTTTAAATGTTTTCTTTTCCAAACACGACTTCGACTGGAAACAAAAACTTCATTCACTTTGTACGGATGGAGCACCTGCGATGCTTGGCAATAAATCTGGTTTTGCCCATTTGGTAAAAAAAGAGGCTCCTAATGTTATTGTTACACATTGTTTTTTACATAGACATGCACTGGCTACAAAAACTCTTCCAACCAGCTTAAAAGAAGTATTGTCAATAGTTATTAAAACTGTGAATTTTATTAGAAGTAGAGCTCTTAATCATCGTCTTTTTAAAACACTGTGTCAAGAAATGAACGCAGAACATGAGGTACTTCTGTACCACACGGAAGTGCGCTGGCTGTCACGAGGGCAGGTTTTGAAACGAATTTTCATGTTGAAGACAGAAGTATCACTTTTTTTAGAAGAAAAACGATAACTCACTCTTCGAATATTTCAAGAAAAAGATTTTATATGTAAATTGGCTTACCTGGCAGACATTTTTAACCACATGAACGATATATGTCTTTCAATTCAAGGGCCTGATACAACAATTATGGATGCCACTGAGAAACTACAGGCATTTTTATTGAAAATGTCACTTTGGAAAATTAGAATTCAAAATGGGATATATGCAAACTTTCAAATGTTGGACGAAGTGCTTTTTGAAAATGGATCTCGGAAAGATAGTTTGTTATTGAATAACTTGAAAAATGAAATCTGTGAACACCTGGAAGTACTTCAAGTTTCATTTGAAAAATATTTCAATTCGGATGGAATAAATATAAAAGATGAGTTGTGGATTCGTAATCCTTTTCTTTGTGATATTGACTGTATCGATGACATGAACCTTGCCAAAGATGAGCTAATTGATTTGAAAACAAAGTCCTTGTTAAAAATGGATTTCGATTCAAAAACTCTTGGAGAGTTTTGGTCTTCTTTAAGAGAAGCCTACCCATTGCTTGTAAAACGAGCTATGGCAGCCATTATTCCGTTTGCTACAGTATATCTTTGCGAAGCGGGATTTTCCACACTTGTCACAATAAAAACAAAACATCGAAATAGACTGAATGTCGAACATGATATGCGCGTTGCTTTGTCGAAAACCATCCCTCAATTCAATCTGTTAATCAAGGAAAAGCAGCAACAGCCTTCACATAAATTTTAATTTCTTCAAATTTTATACTATTGAAATAAAATATTAAAATAATTAAATAATAAAACAGAATATATTTTGTAATAAATGATGTTTAAGCAATTTTTTTTTTCACAGAGGGGTCCGTGACATATTTAAAATTTTTAAAGTTGTTCATTGTGCCAAAAAGGTTAAGAAACACTGAACTAGCCCTTTAGCCCTGGATGTCTTTGGGGAGGAATTTACAAGGATGGATGGTGGACGAAAGTACGGACGGAATAACGGAAGGGAAGAAGTTCCTAACAAATTTAGTCCACGAAATTTGTGCAAAATGTGGTAAGATGCAAAGGTTCGTAGAATATTACCACCTTGATACAGCAACAGTAATCTGTAGCATAAATATTTCCAATGTCTTGCTTTAAAAAACATTTTAAATCATGGAGAAAAACAAATCAAAGTGGATATATTTTTAATGAGACAAAAGCTCAGTGATTCCGAGAGCAGAGCGATGTTAAGCGAAAGAGAAAACCAGAAAGGCAATAGCTAACTGATATTTTTACGGAAAAGGATTTCCCTCTCAAGCAATAATATTTTGCACCTTTGGCTATTTCATTGCTTTCTACTTAAGCCGTCAACTTTCCTTCCTAGAGATAACGCAAAATTTAATCCGTTTTTCTATTTTTTGTATGTCTAAAATTGTTATAAACCTTGTGTATATACTAAATAAATTCCATTGGTTTTGCATTATGAATTTATATAAAAAACACTATTTTCTAAGCAATAACTTGGATCCGGGAACGGATTAATTCACTTTGCCTTAATTAATATGGGAAAAATTCTTTCTCCTAACGAGTATTTCGGATGTCAAACCATCTTTAAAAATTAATTATGTTCGTGAACAAAGGTTTCACTACAATTTGTCTTAATTGAAAATATTTGTCCTTTTAAAGTTTGTTCTTCAACTGTGGAAAAAGGAAAAGAGAAAACTGCTAAACTCAAGTACGGCGAATCCAGAAGCTGTGGAACAGTTGCCAGTTCACTAACACCCCAAAATTTCCATAATAATAGTAGGCCGCGCATTATTATGATGAAGAAATCCATTGTTACTTCATAAGGGGCTATTAGTCTCGAAATGAGATTTTGCATCAATTCACTAAAAACGGCAGATCACTTTTCTATTGTTGCCACTAGATATTATCGCCCTGTATTGAAGAAATTACATAATGAAGAATCTGCATGTAAATATGTATATTCCTTGCACTGTGAAAAAACAGCGGCGTTACGGTGAAGAGCTACACGATTTTGAATCATGTAGCTCTTCACCCTAACGTACGCATCTGAAAGACCGGATTTTAAATTCCGAATCTGTTTTTTTTTTTTTATTATTATTATTATATTATTCTATTTTTCAAAACTTTAATGAATTTTAAAACAAACTGATGTTTGAAAGCGAGTAGAGCACCTATACGGGTAATTTTTATCTTCAGCGCACTAGACTGTCTATCGGAAATTCTAAGCATATGATGTTTTCAAATGTTTGGTGATTTTGCTGCTGAACTAAATATTCTGTAGCTAAGTGCGAAGAACGTGAAAATGTTAATACACAAAACATTAATAAAAGAAATACAAAAAAAGTTTTGTAAGCCATTTTACTAAGAAAACTAAACTTTGATATGATGAAGTGAGAAAAGACAATATTTTTTTTAATGTTTGCACACTTAACACTGCATCGAGAATTCTAAACATATCTGCTATGCGCTGTTAATTTCTCGATTTGTTGTGACTCTTTTGGCGTAGATCAAGAATAATGCTTACTAATACGATAAAGGGGGGGGTGAATTTCTATTTTAATACCCCAAAGGGGGTTCTTTAACGTTCTTTACATTATTTATAATATCATTTCTTCGCACTTGACCCAAAATTCATTCAACACAATATCGCAAATAAGTAAAATGAGCATATCTTAAATTCCGATACACAGTCTCGCGAGATAGAGATTTCCCCCGCCGTACTGTGTTGTCATTGCTCGCTTGATCATCGAGTTCTAATCAAAATCCCTAAAGTGTACAAATATGATCGATCATAAACAATTCCAAATTTGAGCTCCATGCCCATTTCAGGAGGATACATTTCAAAGTTGATGCTCTAGTACTTTGTTTAGCCAATGCAAGAACACACAAACATTATGCGAATTTTTCATTATTAATTCTTAAATAAGCACGGGCGAATAATATTTGGTGGCAACAGTTTGAAAAGTGCTATGGACATTTACAGTTGTAGAGCCATTAAGTATTTTTTTGGAAGCAGGAGAAATGAAAAATGTGCAACGCCTTCGCCGGGAATCGAACCGCAGACCTCTGGAATACGCGCCCAGCGTGCAGACCACCACACCACGAAGCCATGCGAAGAAGGCAGAGAAATACCTTATACAGTGAATCGAAGCAAAATGCCAAAGCGAAATTAATAACTCTTCTGAGCTAACGCTCCTTTTGGCTAGAAATGGTTTCCAAAAGTGAGTGCAAGAGTAGACTGGTAGACTGCGATCTTAGCGACAGTGTAAAAAACATTAGCAAACCCTTTTTGGTGATGATTAAAATCTGAAAGCTTTCAGATGCCTTACATTTCAGACCCACTTTTCATCTGATACATTTTTCAAAGTTTTCTTCGATTTTCTTTCACAACAGCAACGACTTTCTCTCGGGCATCATGCCTTGAAATTCAGATCTTTTGAAATGTTGATGCCACTCAAACGTTTTCGACCGCGATACAGATTCATCCCAAAATGCTTGAATAATCAGGTCACGAGTGTCTTTGCCAGTTTTGTTCAGGTTTACACAGAATTTAAGGGAAATACGTTGTTCTTTCATATTCATATCACACATTTTCTCTGGTATCACAAATTTCTTTTATGTAAAAAAGGGCTACAAATGTATAGTGTAGCCATATATCGGTAGGTAATTCTTTACATATGTTTAGAAACGTTTAAACATGTCGTTGATATAAATAGTAATTTGAATTTCAAATGTCGCAAGGGAAAAAACATTCAGTCCTGGAATTTTCTAATCAAACTTTTATTTCAAGAAGCTTTAAAATTAATTTACATAAACAGTTATTCGCTTGAAATAATACCATTAAAAACAGCAATCTGAAAATTTCCAATTACGAAAAGTTGAATATATTAAACTTTGCGCTTTAAATTTTAAAATGTTAAAAGAAAATTTTAACTTAAAATCATAACGTTAAACACAGATTCCAATTTGATCTTTGGTATGCAGATTTCAGTTCAACACCTGAAACATTTTCAAGTTCAGCAGTTATGACAGATAGGCGTACTGATTAAAAAGTTAGTGCTCCAGAAATCTAAAGATACAGAAGATAAAATATGACTTTTAAAATGCTGCTGTCCAAGATGGCAAATCCAAGTAATGGGCGAGAGAAATCCTATTGCATCGCATATTACCGCCACGTGAAGATTTGTGCACTTACTTAATGAAGAAATGACTTAAAAATTTAAGACGGTGCTGTGCATTTATTTCACAGTATAACTTGGGCCGAAAGCTTATATGTAAAGAAGTATCACATTAAAGCTTATATGTAAAGAAGTATCACATTAAAATAAGTATCCATCGTTAAGGAAATAACATGAAGCAATCTGAGAA